TTCACAACACAAGTAAATCTCTGTTTTCAACCTACTCAAAATGTGCAAAAAACAAATCTTTGTCAATTATTTATTGTTGCCAAGAAAATACTCATTTTACCAAACAGTTATGACAAACTGTCTGCAAGTACCATATAAATGTGATACCTTTTTTCTCTTAAAACAAAAACAAAAAAGATGAAATAAACTCGTTTAACCATCACAACAACATTGGTAAAATTAATTTTTGTTACATTTATAAAGTTTTTAAAGCAAAGGTAACATAGAGACAACTATAAACTAAATAATCTTTTGAAAACTAGTCAAAAAGACCAAAAAAAAAAAAAAAATTTAGAAGAACAACCGTGAAGTGGTATAGTTTTTGAGGACGACGACGACGACGACGACGACGACGACGCTGATCACCAACACACCATTCAAACTTTTGCCTACATCATCAGCGTTTTCAGCTGTTGGCTTAATACGCTCCATTCGCATTACGGCAGTAAACCCAACGAGAAACCCACTTTTGAACTCTAAAACCATTATGAACCAGCAGTTCAATGTTTCATCAAATCAACTAAAATAACCAATTTAACCTAGACTTTCAACTAAAAACAGCCAAAGAAATAAAAATTCAAAAAAATATAAAAATAAAGAACAAAATTGAAAAAATAAAGATCAAAAGTTCCAACAAAGGATAGCCATAAATCAAGAACAACTAACAAAACCACCAGAGTGGTTACTGCAAAAACAAAAAAAAAAAAAAAAGAGCTTAAACTATGCAAATTATAGAAAGAAAGTCTGATCTTGTGCAAATAATTCATTACAGAGAAGCAAAACACATTTATAGCACCAATGTTGTTTCAGTTTTTTTCGAAACGAAAAACAACAAAAACTTGGTATCTGTTCGTTGAACAATTGGGAGAAAATAAAAAATACTTTTTTTTATATTACAGCAATAACTTCTTTTTTTATAGTCCAAATTACCAACATTATTTTTCTTGCATTTTATTAAAAACTAATCTTTCCACACCTGTGCATCATGGAAGAAGTTTTTTTTTCCGCATTTATTTGACCTGAATTAAATAATTTTACAAAAAATTCTTAAGCAATTCGTATGAAAAAAAAAATTTGAAATTCCGATGGCATATAATAAATCAGACACGAAAACGTTTCTTACCCCAAAAGATGGAAAGATCAAAGAGAAATCGGTATGCTCAGAAAAAAAAAAAAAAAAACTCATGCTGTCGTTGTTGCTGTTACCAGTCATGAAACTGTCCATTGCCTAAGCCGTGAACGCAACTAACGACGATACATTCCACTCCGTCCCCTCAAAAGCAGCCCCTCCCCAGTTCTTTCGCTGCATTTTGGTAGTCGTTGTTGTTGCCAGTAACATCCACCCCCCACTGTTACCAGCAAAAAATTAACATCATCTACAAATGCAGTAAAAACACCAGATTTTCTAGCCGATATCAAAGCCACAAAAAAATTATCAAAGTTTCCGGATATTACACTTTCATCTCCGACTATAGCAGCAACAACAGCAACAACAACAACAATAACAACAACAACAGAAAAAAACAACAACATAGGCCCAAAGCAGCAGTTTATGCCATGCTCACTAAAGGTTTTAATTTCATGGAAGTCATGCGCGATAATGACTGAATAATATCACATCTGCAACAACCGTAATAACCAAATTGATTTTTAAACATTATAGTTGGAAACTAAATTGGAAGGTTTTTTTT